GTTCCACCTCTTCCTGTGCAGCTTGCAGGCTCTTGAAAAGGAGGTGCAACCCCAACTGTATCTTCGCACCCTATTTCCGATCCGATGAGCCGAAGAAGTTCGCCAAAGTCCACAAGGTCTTCGGTGCTAGCAATGTGAGCAAGATCCTAATCGAAGTGCCTGAAGAGCAGCGCGAAGACACGGTGAATTCCCTTGCGTATGAGGCCGAAGCAAGGCTCAGGGACCCGGTCTATGGTTGTATTGGTGCCATAGCTTTGTTGCAGAGGAAGATGATCCAGCTTCAACATGATTTGGCCCTTGCTCGATCATGTTTGGCTCGGTACACCGCAACTCCTTCCTGTATCGGCAGTACCGATGTTCCGGTTATCGCAGATCCTCTTGGTGATTTCCCGGCCGGTTGCGGAGGATCAATCGACAGTTTTAGCTGGAATCTTTCATATGAATTGAATCAGGAAGCACATATGTATGATTTTAGCCAAATTCCATATGTATAAAGATTCCTTTCCTGTTGATTGATAGGGTTTGAATCTATCATCTATGACCCAAGATCAAGTTTGAATTAATATCAAAAATCAAAAGGGTTTGATTCTACAGGTGAAAGCTGAATGCTAGTTGATAATATCTGTGAAAAAGTAAGGCAAAAATTGTAGGGCAGAGTGGTGGCTTCAGTTGGGATAACTCTCTGCCGCCCAAGCCAAGAAGCATCTCTCAAGCTTTTGGCCTAATTCTTCCATGCATGAATTATTACTCATTAAGTCATATCATCCCTTGCCACCGTTACTATACTAGTTACCGATTTAAAAATATTTTTAAAAATAGACATATATATATATATATATATATATATATATATATACATATTAATAATATATATTTTTTATAATATAAATAAAATTTTATAATAAATACAAAAATAACTATAAAAATTTGGATTTTACGATAAACACGCCGTATAGATCCGCACTATCTCTCGTAAATTGTCCAAATGTTTTTCAACTGCCTACACTTTTACGCAAAGTAGTCAGTAACTCAGTATAGTACCCACTCATGATTGGCTGTTTTTCTTTTTACATCAACATGTATCATATCTTAGCTAAATTATTAAGATAATATTATTTTATTTTTTATTAAAATTGTACTGAATTTTTTTTATAAAATTCAGAAATCTAATAAAATATTGAATATTTTTCTAACATGTTTTGGCTCAATATTTTTCTTTTCATTAAAAACACTAATTTCCCCTTCCGCTAGTTTGGTTGAGTCTTAACTTGATTAAGTTACGAGAGAGTTTTTAATGAAGACCTATTTTCAACTTTTTCAAAAGAAAACACTAATTTTCTTTTAATAAAATCTATATAATTTTTGGCTTAATATTTTATTTTATTTTTATTTTGATCATGAATGACGTCAGTATTAGAAAAACAATTCATGTAACATGTCACGTAGTAAAGACACTTTCTTAAGAAAGAACAATTCAAAAGATATTTCCACATAGGCACGCATTCATTCTATGTGGCATAAATGAATTTCATTCCGAGAATTAATGAGTTTTAGTAAAAGAAAATTAAAATAACAATATTTTAATAATTTAACATGATATCTAAGATTAAATTTTTTGTCACATACATTAATGTTAATATATAAATATGTAATGTGATAAATAAATGATAGTTTATTCTAAATCACTATGATAAAAGATAGTTGATCTAACTAAAGAAGATCACCATTTTACTATTAATTAGTGATAAAAAAATATAGATATATTTCAGTCTTATTATCGTCCAGGTGTTATAGTTCATCATCCACATTATTCAAATAACCTTTTATTGAAACTAATTACTTGTGTAATTCAAGATATTGGATCTAAAGCAATGGCAATTCATTACAGGTATGCAAGTAAGAACAAATGGTTTAAAAAAGGGTCTTTTTTCATTCATTTGGTGAACATTCAAAAGTTAAATTTCACTAATCTCATCTCTCAGAGCAAGAATGTTAGCAGAACACCGATTGTTTTTTTTATGAGATGGGTGAAAATGACACTGCTTTATCTCAACTCAGTTGTTTCATTCTAATGATTAGTACTAATATTTCTTTTTGTTTGAATCTCATTCTCATATTTAATGGGGTTTAGACGCAATTGAGCCTCTTAAACCTTAAAAAAGGATTTAGATTCTTGAAATATCATGCTGGATTTGTGTTGAGCCACATAACAGTCCTTCTGTCGGGAATCATGCTCAGTTGGGTTGGGATTCAATACACTACAATACTAATATCATTTTATTTTACTCTAAACTCGATATATACCAACTAATAAGCTTTAATGCATGGTGTTCCTTCTGCGAGTAGTATAGGGGACTGAAGAAAGTTAGCATTTTTTCCTCTTGGAAAATACAAGAGATCTACCGCAACAACTGATTTATGTACAAGAAATGTTTACACATGGAAACACCCGAGTTTCTTGAACACAAAAGAAGATATGACCACCCAGATTCTCAGATTCAGCTTCTATTCTCAGATTTGCACTTCTTCCCTGCATTCAATGCATGCACGTAAATCAACATGTACACAAAAACCAAGCTCCAGCTCAGTAGAAACATGAAATTCAAATGATAAACCAACCGTTAATGGGGTAATTTGTGGCAATAAGACAACATTATTAGTATAGAATCAGAGAAGTTCGATGGTTTAGTTTTTCCTTCAAGGTAATGCTAATGGCAGCAATTCGCGGCAACTTTTAGTGAGAAATAAGAATCTAGGGGACGAACAAATTAAGATAAAAGTTGAGACAATTTCCAAAGAATCAGCAAGCACATAAATCATCGAACTTTACCGCTAATTAGTGCCATTAACATCAACTCAAGCCATTTTAAAAATCATCGAACTGGTTTACTAATCATCAAAATTCTAACTTTTCCTACATGAAAGAGAGACAAATGAAGCAAAATTTAAATTTGGTTTATAGTAAATGAAGTAAATTTGAGAAGACCTGAGCCAGTGAAATGCTTTTGGCGCTTTAATTTCTCCATCTCCAGATGAGCATCCACGAGCATGTTCATTCTTTGGAACTCCAGATCTTTAGTGAACTCAATTCTCTGTTTCTCGAGCTCCATCATTTGTTGTCGCTTCAAGCTCTCGATCCTCTCGTAGATCTCCCCGAACTTCAAAATCGCTCTCGCTAATTCCCTACAAGCAGCTCCGTCAGACAATCCGACATCCACCTCCCGCTGTTTTTTCCTAACCTCATCATCGTCATCGGACGAGCTCTCCGTCGACTTTACCCCCTGCGACAAAGATTTCGATTTGGGTTTGATCGTGAAAGTAGAGCCAGTAAGCTTTTTATTGGCGGAGGCGTCGCCGCCGATGAGGGCCTCGATGCGGTTAAAAAACGACCATTTCGAAGGCGGCGGCTTGGCTCTTTCCTGCTTGTATTTTCTCTTCAACGTGTCCATCCGGTTCTGGCACTGGACGTCGGTTTTCTTCGGCTTAACGCCGTCTCGACCGGAGTTAACGGCGTCAGCGACTTCTTGCCAGTCCTTTTGACGGAGGTTACCTCTGTTAAGCCTAACATAACGGTCACCCCAAGCCTCGATAAGCGTAGAGGTGGCTCCGTCGCTCCAACAGTCTTCGCGACCGCCGCCACCGGAGGAGTGGGTGTTACGATCATGATGAGAGGCACCGAGGTTCATGGAGAGAAGCAGCTAACGTGCGCCGGGGGAAAGGGAAGGTGGAAAAGGTAAAATGGAAAATGAAGAAGGAATTGGGGAAGAAGCAGAGGATTGGCCGTGCATTTTTACTTCCTTCGGTGACCGGCGGTGACGTTAGCGACCCCGTAGTGGGGATAGAGTTGGGATGGGATGGACTATGACATCAATGATAGGTCCGTGCATTATCCAATTGCATTCCTCTGCTCTTCTACTCGCTTTCTTTATTTCAACTTTCAACATCAGTAGAAGGATAGGTGCATTTTCCGTCAAGATTCCGAGCGAAAACTGAAATAAATAAATAAATAAAAGAAAATTAAACAAAAGGTCATTTTTATTTAAGATAAACTATCTGTTTCTTTATAATCAATAAAACATTAAAATCTTTCATTTAGAGATCAAAACCCTACTGCCCTTTACATTTGATCTTCGACATTTATATATTCTATTAATTAAATCCTAATTTTAAATAATACAACAATTTGACCATCAAAATTTATAAATTTCAATTACTCACCTATTCCATATTATATAGCCCTCTATGACATTTATTATTATTATTATTTTATATTCTTTCTATTTTTAAATTTGGGGAAGAATCAGAAGTCTATTGAGCCTATGATGCAATAGTAAATGAATGGATAAACTATATGTTAGTACTCCAATTATTATTTTTGTTCTGTTTTGACCATTCAACTATTTTTTTTTCAAAATCATAATTAATATTTAGTTTTGGTTTCATTTTGGTCATTCACTGTTAAAAAATCAACGATATTATTAACGTGTCATCATAAGATAATGACATGTCATCAATGAAAAAATAATAAATTCCACATAAGCAAATAATGTTAATTGGATGATCAAAATGAAACCAAAATGTAATGTCAAGTATAATTTTGAAAAAAAATAGTTAGGTGACCAAATTGGAACAAAAGTAATAATTGAGGTACTAAATGTTTAGTTTACCAAAATGGAACAAAAAGCGATAATTGGGGTACTAAATTCAATGTTTACCCTAAATGATTTTATGTTAATTTTCAGTTTAATTAGGCCATGAATTTAATTCTAGATAACTCTCCCAAACCTTCTCCATTTCCTTATTAAAAAAAAGAAAGAATTGTTTTAAGATATATGTATGATAGTATTTAATGTCCCAAAAATGACAATAAAAATAGCGAAAAGAATTTGAAGTTGGGGCTGACATCTGGTCAGATTTCCTTAACCCAATATAATCTCAAAGCCCAATTCTCTCATTATGGAGGCATCTAGGGTTTTATGATTTATATACATATATGGTCTCTAATGTAAAAGGCTCTTTTTAACATTCACGCCGCATACTCTATTGAGGACAGTCAAATCTCAGGCTGCAGAAGCAGACGAGCATCGAATCCTTTTCACGATGAGAGCTAAGGTGAGAAAGATCCACATGTTTCTGATACTTGGGTTGATTTTTGATTGAGATGCCTGATGTTTTTTATTTTGGTAAATTCAGTGGAAGAAGAAGCGTATGAGGCGTTTGAAGAGGAAGAGAAGAAAGATGAGGCAAAGATCTAAGTAGTCTAATTTTGTTTAGACTTGGTAATAGGATTTAAGTTGGTGGTTATATTTTTATGGTTTAGTTTTGAATTTGTGTTGAACCTTTTTCTTCTGCTTAAACAGTGTTATTGAGTTTTTAGCTATTTGCTTGCTTATCGTTTTCGATTTTATCCATCCGATGGTTGCTTTGCTTGGTTAAATATAGTTTACTTTCTCTTGTTCTTAATATCTGACTGAACTCAAACCCTAATTCCGGTCAAGAGGACCAAGGTTTCACAATCTTTTACCTGCCAAATACTTCATCATATTTATGTTATGATACTAGCTAAGTAGCTATGTTGGCCCATTTATTCCCATGAATAACACGTGCTTTTAAGAGCATCCTCAGCAGGCTGAACGGCACAGTGTCGTAGATGGCAAGATTTGCCGGATGTTCCAGAAATTCTAGCGCTTACAATGGACTTGTTCACTGTACATACTGTTCTACTAGCTTGATAATGTTAGCTTCTTCTTTTGGTTTCCATGTACCTCTCACACGATTACCACCATTGACCATCTTTGTATACCAATGAAACAGAAACAAAATCGAAGTCTCATATGAATCATAATTTGTGGGCGACTTGTTGAATTAATCATATTTTATTGTGTAAACGTAGAAGAGCAGAACAACCTTTGCCTTCTGGTTCTAATTTGACGTTGACCGGATCCAGCTGATGAAGCAATTCCGCTTACAACAACTATAGACAAGCCCTTCTGGTTTTTTTTTTGTCAATTACGCTCTTAATATTATGACGTCGCAGCAAAAAAATAAACATCAGTTGATCAATAAAAAGAATTTATTTGAAAAAAAACTTAAAAATTAGAGTTTAAATCGTTAAAGGGAAAATTTTCAGGATGTTATTGAAAATAGTGATATCATGCTTATGTTTTTAAACAATAGTAGTGGCGTCCCTACACAAACAAACAAGATAGGCTAGGCAAAGAGACAACGTAGGACCTCAATCATACTCAAGTTGCAAGTCATCATTATCCACCACTCAGTTTTGCAACTGTTCTCCATGATCATGCGGTGCCGAAGATATTATCTATTTAGCATTATTGATATGAGAATTAAATACAGAGTTATTCAATTGATTCATATTATTACTCGAGAATTGGATGTGCACTTTGATGCCTTCAGCCCAAAGACTCCTGTAAGAGAATGATCAATCCAATGAACTAATAAACATAATGTAAGGAGGCAAAGGCTTTAAAAGCCATTTCTCAATGTTCATTTAAAAACTGAAATTCCTTTCACTATGCTTTTAAATCAAAATTAACAGTATACCTATTTTGTAAGGGTCCATAATCCCGATAAACAAGAAAAAGTAGACCTATAACTACTGTTTTCTATGTCAATGTAAGCCTAATGCAATCCCATATCACTAGGAAGAATGGCATATAACTGGTCGGATTACGGCTTTGAGATCATAAAAAAATCTTTGCTCGGAAAATCTGCTAGCTCTTCGCCGTGCTACTGTAGCTACCTTGAGTCTTTCAGGCTCGGGCATCTTTACGATTTTCAGGATTGCATCTGCATATTCTTCTATATTTTTGGCAAGAAATCCTGTTTGTTGTCCATCTTCTTCTAATACAATGTCCATTTTGGGGCCGGCAGAATTATGAGCTGAAGAGGGGAGCAAGCAGCATAAGAACGATATGAAAACAATTTATAAACAGAAAAGTAGCTCTAATAGGAAAATTAAAATTAAAAAAATCAGTTGCCGTGTGCACCCACCAATTGGTATGGCTCCTGCAGCCATGTACTCTACAACACTAATGCCAAAGTGCTCGTCTATCATCGAGTGGATTCCGGCAACAGCACCTGCCAAAAGTCTTACCAAGTCCCTGGATATCGTATGAGATAAAAGAAGCTAAGAGTTAGTAAGCTCTTAGCGAATCATAAAATCCCAATGCACAATCAGACCAGCAGTAGATATGCAAATGCAGAGAAAGTGGTTCTATGCTGATCATAAATTTTGGGATGATTTTCATTTAGAGGGAAAATCCAACCAAACATTTTTGAGTAACTGTCAAAAGGATGTGGCTAAATTGGCAATTCTACCTATACATCACATTTTTATGGAATTCCACATCGTCTTGAATATTCAATTGCACCGCTTTGTCTTTCAAATTCTGAAGTCTTTCCTCGTCTGATTTATTTCGACAACTACCTACAAACTGCAGCTTAGGTCTTGGAAATTCTGCATCTAGTTTTTTTATGGCAACAGAGAAGGCCTCAAGTTGAAGATTATGTGCCTGTTAAAAGAACCGAACAGTAAAGAGTAGCTAGAACTAATCAAGGTCCAAAATCGAGACACTAGAACTGTTTAACATTTAGCTTGAAGATTATACAAGTATGTGCACCTTCTCTGGACGGAACTGTGCAACAGATATGATTTTTGGTGTTTCCCCCGATCTTTCCAAAGGAAGTGCCTGTTTCAGATAAATGGCATAAAAAAGACAGAAACATAGAAAATGTACTTGGGACTGTGAAGAATAATGAGAAACAGAACCTGAAGTCCTGAAGTATCACAAGGAGGATAAACTCGTTTAATACGCTCAGGAATTCCCCAAAGCTTCTCGATGTGAGACTCAGTCCATGAAGAGTTAACCATTACAAGATGCGCACAAGAGCCAACCATTCCATACATCCTGCTAAAAATTGTATAATAGATAATTTTGCATTGGGATAGCCACACGCTGCCAAGGAAGGATACTATCAGGATCCAAATAACAAGATCAGAAGCCAGATATATCGCTAAGACCCAAGCAATCCATTACGCTGCTCTATTAACGTACATTATCATGCTTTATGCAAATCAAGGTTCCATCAAAGTCAAAATGTAATGGTAGTATTACTTGTCAACCATGAAAATTAATAAAAAAAAAACGGTATAGAACTTTAAAAGTTATCGATCTGGAACAATCACTAAAAGAAAATCCGATATAGTTCTAGACAAACAATTCAAATATGGTAGGCAAGTAGTAGTTTAAGAATGTATTCTTAATAAATACAGATTAATGTCCAAAAACCATAAATTCAACAAGTAGAACCAACCCCCTGATTCGTGCAAGCAAAATGTTAAAAGCTTTCCTACATGAAACCATTACCAAAACAAAATGGAAACTAATATGAAAGAAGAGAATAAGCATAAACTAGCAATGCAACCAAACAACTCCAGTCTATCTAAAACATACAAATTCCCATCACTAAATAAGACTAAAAAGATTATTAAGCTAAAGCAAACCTTCTAGCAATTACGGCATCATTATTGTACATAGAGCTTCGTTGACGAACTCGAGAAATCATGTCTAGGCTGATAGTAGGATAATGAGTATAACAAATAACTTTGCACCCAAATAAACGTGCAATTGGGTATGTAAAAGCGTATCCACTAGTGTCAAAATAATACAAAGGTGTAAACTTGTTTAAGGCTTCCCAAGATAAATAAACCGATCCCAAGCTTTGAGCAATCATTGTGAAGTGTGGATACGTTGTTTCTTCAATCCATTTTCTTTTATTCAAATGCACCACCTGAAAACAATAAGAAAACTTAAAATTAAACCTAAAGAAAATAACTTTTTTTTTTTAATGTAATTAAAAATGGAATTACTTTAGGGGGATTGAGGAGGTAAACGCCAAAGCGATCGGTGGCCCGTGACATTAAGGATTGAGAGGAGGCGTCGTGGTCGCCAGTGAATATAACAGAATCGAGATCTGGGTTTTGTTCTTGGATGGCTTTAACGGCGCACCAAAGGACTCTCTCTCCGCCGCCGCCATCATTGGTGTAAGGATGGAAGAATCCGACGGCTGCTTTCTTGTTTCTACGACGATTGAGAATTTGCGAAGCAAATAAAAGAACTACGGCGAGTGGGAGAGTGCTTACAGACCAAAAAAGAATCCAATTTATCATGATCTGAAATCTCTGTTCAATTAGAAATGGGGAGATGGTTTTTACTTTCAGAGTCGTCTAATCGAGAGGACGAAGAAAAGGAAAAACCTTGACCAAAAAAAATATATGAAAGCTGTCGTAACCGGATTTCGTCCGGACACGAAATATTATACTTGGCAGGAAATTGATGTAAATAAATAGTTTTGAAAATAATTTGGGAGTCGTCATCGGCCTTTTGGGTCAGGTAGGTCGAATACCTAAAAATTATTTTTTTTTTAAAAGAGTTTTAAGAAAACACCAATTAAAAAATGAACTGATCTGCGTTTATAACCAAAAATTCGTTCTTTTTAATAATAAAAAGGGATTCGTGGTCGATTACGTTTAGGGAAGGATTAGCACCCCTACAACGCCCAAAATTGGTACTTTTTAATTATAAATTGTCTCTATTATTAAAAATTAAAAAAATTCAAAATATATTTAATTTATAATCCTATTATTTCAAAATTATATAAAAACAATATTAAAAAATATCAGAAAAGGACTTCTAGGTGCTTTAAGACAGCTCTTTTCTTTAATATTTAAAAATAAATATCAAAAACATTTTATTTTAATATAGTAAGATATTTATTTATTCAAAAATATCAGAAAATGGTTTCTAGGTATCTTAAGACAGCTCTCTTCTTTGATATTAATAAATAAAAATATATTAAAATTTTAATATTTTAAATAAAACTAAATTATAATTTTTATAATATTTAATTATTTAAAATACCAGAATAGGACATCCAGTTATATTAAGACTGCCCTTTTCTTTGATATCGAAAATAAATAAACACTATTATTTAAAATATATATATATATATATATTTATATGACTAAGATAATAATAAAATAATAATTAAAGCAATAATTAAAATATAAAAGTAATAACAAAATAATATTGTAATTAAATAATGATCAAAATAAAAGAAATTCAAAAATTATAAAACTAAATATAAAGTATTAAAAATAAAGATAATAATTCGAAATATTATGAAAGATAATGATTAATAGTGTAATTTAACCTAATTAATTAATACATGATTAAAATAATAATTAATAAACTATGAGGGACTAAATTTGATATTTTCCTAAATATATATAAATACAATTAATGGTTAAAATATAATAAAATAAAATTTAAACACTAAATTAAAACGATTAAAAGTCAATTTCAGTGACTAAATTGCAAAGTTACAGAACTATAAGGGTTGCAGAAAGGGTTTACCCTTTCTTAAATTACACAGATACCCTCCCCAAAACGACGTCGTTTGGGGAGGGTTTTAAATACCCTAAACGCCTGGCCCAAAGGGCCAGGCTTCCTCATTTGCTTCTTTCTCAGCTTCTCTCTAAAACAGAGAGAAGCATTTCTCTGGCTTCTCTCTAGGTTCCCTCGCCGGAGGGAAACCGGCAGCCATAGGCCACCGTATTCCAGTGCCGATCACCGCCGCCGGCCACCGTCACGGTGGCCGGAAAAATCCCAAAATACCCCAAAACGTAGCTCTAAAACCCCTAAATCCGAACCTAGCCTCAGTTTTCCTTAAAAATCTCCTAATCGGAGTAAATCTAGAAAACAAACCGACGGTTTTACCTCGGTTTTTACACCGTTTTCGGCTATGTTTGGGCTTCTTGAGGGTAAGTCTTTTCCTTTTTTCTCCCTTTGCTTTAGATTTGCTGCTATGGGTGTTGTTTGGCTCGCTGTTGTGGTTTGTTTCTCGTTTCTTTTTTTTTCTTTTTCTTTTTTTTTTCTATTTCTGTATCTTGGTTGCTCTCCTCTGGTTTGTTGGTTGTTGTCTCCGTTCTTTGCTTGCTGTTTTCTTTTCTTTTGCAGGCGCGATGGCTTTTATAGCCATGGAGGTACGCCCTTCAGACCGGTTCCAGTGGGGACTTCTGGTGAGTCACCATAGCTATGGCGGTGACTCACCATAGGGCTCGATGTGGGTATCTTCGTGGCGTTCTGGAGACTTCTTCATGGGAGTCGTGGTAGCAGGGGATCGTCGGCAGCATATGGTTGGGTCACCTGGCAGTGGGAGTGTCGGCAGAGGCGGCGGCTGGCCTTCTGGAAGCATCAGAGGCGGCTGGGGCTAGGGTTAGAAAACCCTAGCTGAAACATGTAAACCCTAATTGGGTTTTATGTCAATTGGGCCTTCTGGATTGGGCTTGAAATTGTAATCAGGCCCCGATTTTGGGCCTTGTATGTTTTTTTATTTAATGATAATAATATATATAATAATATATTTTATTTAATAATAATAATAATTAAAATAATATAATGAAAAATTAGTGTCTACAGCTGCCCCTCTTTACTCATTCTTGTGTTAACAAGAATAGAGCAAAGACGAAAAAGACAATAATTTTCATTCGGCTTCTTTTGAGTAGGATTGAAATATTGGAAACATCATGCACTGAAGGACTTACAGATGACCCGAAGGTTTTGAAAACATCAAAAAGCTCTCGAAGGCTTTTTGGAAACATCATGCACTGAAGGACTTACAGATGACCCGAAGGCTTTGAAAACATCAAAAAGATCCCGAATGCTTTTTGAAAACATCATGCACTAAAGGACTTACAGATGACCCGAAGGCTTTGAAAACATCAAAAAGCTCCCGAAGGCTTTTCGGAAACATCATGCACTGAAGGACTTACAGATGACCTTAAGGTTTTGAAAACATCAAAAAGCTCCCGAAGGCTTTTTGGAAACATCATGCACTGAAGGGCTTACAGATGACCCGAAGGTTTTGAAAATATCAAAAAGCTCCCGAAGGCTTTTTGGAAACATCATGCACTGAAGGACTTACAGATGACCTTAAGGTTTTGAAAACATCAAAAAGCTCCCGAAGGCTTTTTGGAAACATCATGCACTGAAGGACTTACAGATGACCCGAAGGCTTTGAAAACATCAAAAAGCTCCCGAATACTTTTTGAAAACATCATGCACTAAAAGACTTACAGATGACCCGAAGGCTTTGAAAACATCAAAAAGCTCCCGAAGGCTTTTCGGAAACATCATGCACTGAAGGACTTACAGATGACCTTAAGGTTTTGAAAACATCAAAAAGCTCCCGAAGGCTTTTTGGAAACATCATGCACTGAAGGGCTTACAGATGACCCGAAGGTTTTGAAAATATCAAAAATCTCCCGAAGGCTTTTTGGAAACATCATGCACTGAAGGACTTACAGATGACCTTAAGGTTTTGAAAACATCAAAAAGCTCCCGAAGGCTTTTTGGAAACATCATGCACTGAAGGACTTACAGATGACCCGAAGGCTTTGAAAACATCAAAAAGCTCCCGAAGGCTTTTTGGAAACCTCATGCACTGAAGGACTTACAGATGACCCGAAGGCTTTGAAAACATCAAAAAGCTCCCGAAGGTTTTTTGGAAACATCATGCACTGAAGGACTTACAGATGACCCGAAGGCTTTGAAAACATCAAAAAGCTCCCGAAGGCTTTTTGGAAACATCATGCACTGAAGGACTTACAGATGACCCGAAGGCTTTGAAAACATCAAAAAGCTCCCGAAGGCTTTTTGGAAACATCATGCACTGAAGGACTTACAGATGACCCGAAGGCTTTGAAAACATCAAAAAGCTCCCGAATGCTTTTTGGAAACATCATGCACTGAAGGACTTACAGATGACCTTAAGGTTTTGAAAACATCAAAAAGCTCCCGAAGGCTTTTTGGAAACATCATGCACTGAAGGACTTACAGATGACCCGAAGGCTTTGAAAACATCAAAAAGCTCCCGAAGGCTTTTTGGAAACATCATGCACTGAAGGACTTACAGATGACCCGAAGGCTTTGAAAACATCAAAAAGCTCCCGAAGGCTTTTTGGAAACATCATGCACTGAAGGACTTACAGATGACCCGAAGGATTTGAAAACATCAAAAAGCTCCCGAAGGCTTTTTGGAAACATCATGCACTGAAGGACTTACAGATGACCCGAAGGCTTTGAAAACATCAAAAAGCTCCCGAAGGCTTTTTGGAAACATCATGCACTGAAGGACTTACAGATGACCCGAAGGCTTTGAAAACATCAAAAAGCTCCCGAAGGCTTTTTGGAAACATCATGCACTGAAGGACTTACAGATGACCCGAAGGCTTTGAAAACATCAAAAAGCTCCTGAAGGCTTTTTGGAAACATCATGCACTGAAGGACTTACAGATGACCCGAAGGATTTGAAAACATCAAAAAGCTCCCGAAGGCTTTTTGGAAACATCATGCACTGAAGGGCTTACAGATGTGAGAAATAGTTTACTAAGTAAAAAACTAAGAAAATCGTTTTCTTACTTTTCAACAATTTCATTTCAGAAAAGATAAAATGAGAAACTATGAAAATCGTTTTCTCATTATGTTTCAAAATAACATATTGATTGGGTAACATGCTCTAATCTCAAGATAATTTTCATTCTTGTGGATTGCATCTATCACTTCTTCAGATGTTTGTATAATTCCTGTATTTGCGGTTTTGAATACCTTCTTCTTGTAAGGTATTTCTTACCATGAATCTTCTTGTTCTTCCGAAGATCTGTAAAACTTCATGTTTGAATGCACTCAGATGTATCTATGTAATGCATTGTCTATTGTGCAAATGATGTTCTTATGAATGCATGAATATTGATGCAATCTTCATTTGACTTCAAAGTGGTGAACTTGGTCTTCCTTTACTTCATCATTTATTGCCAGGGTTACCTCTTGATATTAGTGTAAGAACTTATGCTATCAAGCTTGTATTTCTGCAGAACTTGTATCGTGGTGCCTTCTTTGCTTCTTTTAAGTCTTAGAAGAAATGTTTTTCTTGTGGAACTCTTGTCGTAGTCAAAATTATGACCCTGATGCCCCATTTTGTCTTAGATAAAACCAACTTTATTTGCTTGGACTTGTGTAGAAATCCCATAAAGCTTTCATCTTTGAAAAGAGAATCTATCATCTTTAAAAAGAGAACCTATCATCTTTAAAGAGTGTAGATGTAGATATGTGACTCAGCGGGGATTAATTAGGGGAGTAGAGTATGTTCTGATTTGACTCTTGAAACATATCACAAGGAAGATTTATTCCAATTCCTTTCATGTCT